CAAATTTTTATTTTTCTCGAAACATTCTTGAATCGTTCTTACATAATTGGGGTTAATTGAAACGACTTTTTGTTGTTGATACACAATCACGCACGCCTACTTAGTTAAATAATTCAACATCACACTTATTTCACTTATACCCTAATTTAGCTGGCCTTAAAAAGTTGCTACTAAATATTCATCATCCATTTCCGCTTAATTGTAATTGCTTTCTTAATTGCTATGTGCACCATCATCGCCGCGAGAATCTAAGAGGTTATCTCGTACGTCGAAAGAATATTATCGCGCGGGATAAGGGTTCCCCTTTAAGAGGAACGGCTGCTCGTAATCGTAATCGTAACCGTAACGATCATGAAAGTCGAGGCGGTGCAGATTTCCACATTAATATTCCAGCAGCGCTCGCGCGAAGACCCGCCGCCGTTAATAAAGAAATCACCAGCGATTCCGAAATGACAGCCAGCCGTCGATTTCCCATAGTCGAGAGAAGCCGAGCTGATGGCGTTTTAACGTCACCGGCCACCAAAGTCGGACGCATTAGGGTCAATTTCGGTAACTTCGGGCTGACGTTCGTTCTTATGAAAGCATTAAACAATGTACGGTCCCCTAATCGCTTCCCGTATCGCACGCTGATATTGTAAGGCGTGCGATAAGGGTGACCGAGCTTTTGACGTTAACGCGAGTCACGTCGAATACGATCGTTAGTACGCTTTCATGTGTTTTCGAAACGAGCCAAGATTTACGTCTGACAAGAGACGAATGGTAAACGTTTAAAAGTTCCTAAAATCCATAAATTCATTTCTCAAGGTTAATATCATTGTCGGACGAGAGAGTGTACAGAGGTGTAGAGTTGTGACAGGGTATATGTCACAACTCTACATCTCTGTACACTCACCCGTCCGACAATGATATTAACCTTGAGAAATGAATTTATGGATCCTAGGAATTTTTGTCAACGCTGTCCTCTCTTTTTTTATAGATTTTGTCCGCTTACCGAGACGAATCGATACCGGTCCAATTAGAAAAGAATAAGACTGTTGCTTGAAATTGCTCGAGTTTTGCCTTTTCGTGATATTTACTTTAAAACTGATACTTTCAGCAATGCGTATAAAAATTCAGAGACACGGTCAGACTAGGGACTTCACTTTAAATTCTCTTTTATCGATGGAAATGCTTCCAAATGCAACTGAAAACCAATCAAATGGTTTACAAGCCACATTTAGAGACACTTTTATCGATAAAAGAAAGTTCAGAATAAAAGCCTATATCGCGGAATACACTTTGTTGAAACTGTAATCGTCTATAAGCCCGGTCGATACCTTTAGAAATCATTCCGGGAACTATTTATTTGCAGCAGTAATAATAAATCTCTTTTCCACGTGATATTACCGAAATCGTGAATATTTTATATTATTTACCGTTATTTTCCTATCGTTATATCACGAGGACTAGTGTCGGAGCTCAAACGCGAAGAGTTGCACTCCTAAACTCCAGAAGGTGACTGGTGGCACCCTCTACTGCTCTAGCCGTTAACCCAGTCGCTACCGCGGTTCCTTTTATTGATTTCCAAAAAGCTATTTATTTTTGTTTTCCATCGTGTACGTGATAAAACGGTTATCGATGTAACGACTTTGCGCGACTGTACGCCAGATATCGCTATGTTATTTATTTCTTTTAGGATCAGAAATAGCTTCAAAGCCCTTCCTTTGTCGTTTCTATACTCGCCGTTAAAAATATTAATTCCCGTCGAGTAATCGCAATAGCGACGCGTCTACGATGATTCGTAGGAAGAATGAACGGGGTCTCCCTCTTGGCTTCAATCTCAGCAAGGACTTTATCTTATTCAGGACCGCGTAGAACAACCCCTCGATCTCCTACCCCCTCGATCCTCGCCGACGGCTAAATAGCTAACTTCGCGCAACTATCCCAATAGATTATGATTATTGTGGAGGAAAGCTCTGATTTATGCAATTATCATAAATTCAGTCCCGCCCACTACCTTGCGTATGCTCAAGACGCTCCTGCCGTAGTTCCATTCACAGGATTTCAATAGCAAATTATACGACCGTGAGGCAACCGCCTCTATTTTCGTAAAAAACCGATTCTAGTCAATGTCCTGTACATCCGTATTTTTCACGCGCCTTATAAATGTTTCAATAGTAAAGCAAAATATATAATGTAAAAAATAAAGGCTATCGATATCTGTTCAGAAGAAAAAGTTGCTTTGCAACTGTTTAATTTGTGACTGGTATATACTTTTAATCTTGACTGAATCTAACAGCATACAACAATCAGATTCATAAATTTTGTAACAATTGCAAAGCAACCCTTTCTACTGACCGCAGCCATTGATTTTACGAGCAAATTTATCGTAATACGTTTAGTTTAAATCGATAATATATCCAAATATCATTATCCGTCCTTATATTCTTGATTATAACACATAATTAAAACTAGAAAAATTCTCAATTGTATTTTTTGTTTCAGGGAGTAAGAAGAAAAGAAGAAGCGTTAACCAATAACTATACCGACTCTATTTAGCCGTCGGCAAAGAACCCTTTCATAAAGGTAGGACATTGAGGGGTGGTTCCACCCGATGCTGAGTAAAGAAGAGATCTACCTCGTCGGTAACCGCCTTTAGGTTATCGCTCGAAGAGATTTTAGGGTGTCTTTGGCTCGCGTATGCTAACGTAGAATGCGCGAGGATTCTCGTTTATCGGCCGGTGATGGTATGAAGGGAATGCAAAGCCGATAAAATGATCACAATAGTGCAACAGCAATAGATACTTCTTACCTATTTTCAAAGTAATAACAGCAGCATATAAAAAACCGTTTAGCTACATAATGTAAATAACGTTAGCAAATGATTATTACTGAGGGAGACCTACTATACGACGAGCTATGATAAAACGAAAGATTTGTGTATGATAAAATGTATTGACGCACGATAATAAGTAAAATCGTGATGCAATAAAAATGATAACTGTTCCATTAGTGATAAATATTAAAACTTCGACGAAAATATATTGGACCACGGATATATCAGTGACGATGTATAAAAGTTATTTTTGCAACAAATTCAAAAAGAGATAATCGGTTTATGATGTGCTCAATTGATGCACAGATTGAATAATCATTACACATACAACAAAATGCACATGTATGACATATTTAAATAATAATATATGTTAAGGGAAATTTTTCTCTTCAGTAGAGAGCAAACATATACACCATTTATATACACACACACATATTGATATTAAAATAACCAAATAATTACTTACGTGTTGAAATTATGGTTATAGTTAATCGTAGAAATAAGTGAATGAACACAAGTCATAATTGAGGATGTTATCTAGATTCGATCATATCCATTATTGAAATAAGTGATTTTTCTTTCAACGATTGTGGCATGCGCACATGTAATTTCTTTAAATAGTTACCTGAAATATTTTTTCGCAGTTATTTCTTTCTTGTTGCAGTATAACACGCAAATCTACCAGCAGTGTTTAATAAAAAGCTTCAAGTTAAAATAGCTCGGTAAATGCGTCTTATAAAAAATATTTTATTTCAAAATCGATAATTTCAAAATATATACCACGTAAAAATTGCAAAGAACGGCTTCATTCACTTATTCCTTCTATAACCAAGTATGATTGAGCTTCGGCTCAATGGATCATATAAGATCAAAGGCGGTATTAACGACAACACGGAAACGCCAATACATTGAGAAAAAAGTAGTTGGATCGACAAAATCGGTAATCATACAACTTCAAAGAAATATTGCATCTATTGAACAAATTGCGCGTTAGTGTAACAATAAATTGTTGTTGATATAGTTAGTGACCAAATCGCAATCAAATTAAGAGAATCGCTATCATAGTGTGTGTAAATCACAGTAGCTGTTATAATTTGTTAAATCTAGCTAAACGTTTACTCGAGTGTATTTTGTTCATTCAAGCAAGATCTCGTTAATTCAAACACTTATTTTTCTCAATGTACAGCAATGATAAGACTGAAAATTATCTCCTCTGCTTTGAGCCACCGATTTGAGCTTGCGTCGACATTTATATGGGTAATAACAATGCCTGACGTACGAAATGATCGATAAAAAACGCCTACCGTGACAAAGTGAAACGTCAGCGGTTTATGTCGTTACAATCGTTGCGCTTTACGTCCCCGTTGATCTTGTTCCTTCACGTTACGGCAAACAATCCGCAACTGTTTTTGCGACCATAAGGGCGAGATATATCCGGGAATAAAATCTTCGAATAACATCGATTTTTCGCTCACGAATGACGAAACGAATGATTCAAGAATACTGGAAAAGTCGCGGTGAACATTTTATTTTTCTGTCACCGATATAATTTTGAAAGATTTTACAAGAATCTCTCCGTCCTCTTATTACTGACGATACAAGAATTTAATCATTAAATATTTATCTTTCCACCACAAGAAAGCATTTTTTTATTCGTTGTATCTGCCAGTTAAGCAAAGCACTTAATTTCCATTACTACAGTACGTAACACAGACAGAGGAAATGGAGAGCGTTATATTTCTCTCATGCAGGTCGCTGCCATTGATATAAATAATTCCGCGATGCAGAAGAAAGCTACAAAGAAAATCACGAAGAGCAAACCGGATCACACAACGACGCATAAAGAATATTCTGGCGTGGCGCGCGAAGGAATTTTTTCAAGGATTATTTGATATTTTCCAACTCGAGATATTTGACGAGCTAATGCTTTGATAATTACTGTGCGCGCGCGCACGCGATAATAACCGTGTCGCTTTTAAAAAGTAGGACGTTCTTTTTCTTCGATGTTCTATTATTAAAACTCGATCATTTGTACAGTTTTAGAATATCACCGACATCGTCTCGACACGACATCGTTTGTTCGTTCGTTCGTTCGTGTGCGCAAATTATGAGCGCAAGCTCAACACAAAAATTACGTGGCTGCCACTACTGCGGATTACCAGAGGATTATTCGTGTTCCACTTACCTTTTTCGGTGAGGGATGCAACACGGTCACCGGAACTTGGCGGGGGGTCGGCATGGACGGCGGCAGCTGGGTGTGCTCCTTCGCGGGAAATCCTGGCAGTTTCGACTCCCGGTTCGAGGGTAGCTCGAGCAGGTGCTGTATCGAATGATTCTGCCTCGTTTTTCTGGACGACATTCTGTCAACAAATATAAATGCGGCACTTTAGTGAGGAATTCCTTATAACAGGAAGTCGTTAAATAAATGTGAAATTTTAAAAAGTCTATACATGGAGAAAATTTTGTAGTAAAAATTACTATAGAATTTTGTAATCAAGAAAAAAATATATCGACATTCTGCAGTAATTCACTATATTCTTTCATTTTATATATATATTTAGTTCTAGTACCTAGTTATATTTCAAGAACTGAAATGTATGTACTATTAAAAGACTTGCTTTGTTTTTCTAGTAAAATTTACTATGTTTCTTAGTAAGTTTGGACTACTAAAAACATAGTAAAATTCAGAAGAATTTATATGAAGAAGCACTATAACATTCTTTCCGTATAGGAGAAAGCACAAAAATGTGCCTACCGATACTATGCTAGCACAAATATTCTTGCGTAATACTTTTCTAAAGTTTTGCAAAGAATAAAACACTCGAACACTCGCTTAGATCCGCGCGGATCAGAGTCTAAGCAATAACTAACTGCTAGGACCGTCCTGCTTACCTTCAATGTTATTTGTTTTAGTTTAGAGATCGGCGCCTTTACAGTTACGCCTTCGCAAAAACGCGAAGCAAATGTAAACATCGGCCATCAACGACTAAGTATCAGTGATGCGGTAAGTGCTAGGCGAGCAATTTAAATATAACGGGTAGATTGAGAATATTTAATAATATTTGTGAAATGAGCTAAAACTTTTTCTCCGATCCACGCATATCGTTTATCTCTCCCACAAATACAAGAATGTAATCTTGTTAATCTAAATAAATTGGATTAATTATTTTTAATTACTAAATAATCTTTATATCGATATTAGAGAGAAAACATGAGAAATAGAAATCTCAAATGCTGTCTATAGATAAATTTTTTTCCGATTCATACGTATTGTTTACTTCTACCACACGCAAGAAACTATTAATCTGAATAATTTAGATTAATTATTTTTAATTATTAAATAATGTCTATATTGATATTAGAGAGAGAACATGAGAAATAAAAGTTTCAAACGCTGTCTGTAGCGCATGTATCTGAAACAAAAATATATTTTCGTTTTGTCCACATAAATCCAAATTGTTTTTTTTCCCTAAATCAATTTTCTCTGGTAGTTTACTATCGGTTATGTTTCATTTAATTATAACCTGATGAAACTCGATTTTCCGGAATATTTCATATACTATCCCGACTTATAAAATAATTAGATACACGTCTGACATTTTGTCGTGTAGTTATTTCCGCGAAACATTGATCATTCATAACTCAGTTTGCTTTGTAGAATCTCTTGTCCCCGATCCCGAACTTCGACAAATCCACGTTGTGGCTGTTTGTCGTGTTGGGAGGAAGAAATGCAGTTTGAAAATTTAAATTTTCTTTCGAACGAGATATTACATCCACGGAGCGTCCACCTTATCCTGGACTCGATACGGATTTTATTCATAACGAATAGGAAATCGTGAGACAAACACTACTAGGAGATCACGCGAACAAGTCCGAACGTAGCCATGTGCGTATACACCTTTTTCCAGGGGCGCGCGGAAGCAGTAGATATCGGATAAAACTTTCGCATTTAACTTTTCCGTCCTGCTGGGGAAACGACCAACAAAGCTCATCACCGGAAAGTTTTCCGAGACAAGGACAGAGCGAGAGATTCAAGAGAGGGAAGCAAAACGTGCGCGCATGCTCCTACTACTACACAATCGCGACCGTGATTTCGCTCCAACATCCAAACTCAGGCTAGCCAAATATCGGGTGTCCGGACTCTCGTGGTCGCTAGATAAGCTACGAAATTGTCGAGTGTATACTAGTACACACAGGAATATATTGAATAATAAACGTTCTCCTCGCGCTACGTACTAAAAATTGACATGACCGAGATCACATCCGAGCGGATAAACCGATAAATATACACCACCGTGTCGAATACGTATGTTCACTGAATCCAATTTGTGACTAGTCGCATTATTTATTGACACCTCGAGCCAAACAAATTCGATTCACGAAAATATGGACGTCCGTGTGTGCGGTTCGTGAGGATAAAGAGTTGACTTAAAGATTCGCAAGAAAAAGAGAAAAAGAGAAAGAGAGAAAGAAAGAGGAGAAGGAGGAGGAGAGAAAGAGAGGGAAAGCTTTTCGAGACGTACGTCGCGAAACTGCCGTGAAATACGCGTATGAAAAACACACCTTCGACCTCGCGTGCATGTATGCGGGGATGCGGTAACTCACCCCCTACAGCCGTCGCGAAAGTTTGTTCTCCCTCGCGTGTTTACGCACGCGCCACATCGCAGACGCGCGCGCGCATACACATACACAACTCACACATTTATGCACACATCTATTGCAAGCTGCAAGCACGTGTACGTGTCGGCGCGAGGATTACGACCGTGACCTTACCGACCAAGCCATCGGCGAAAAAGGCGAGTATGTCCTTTTAACTGCGACCACAAAACCGTTCGCCGTGATAACAAATGCAGAGTCTACAACTGCTAATTAGATTGCTCTTTACGTGCAGTTTGCCGCATGAACACGATACAATGCGTGTTTCGACTTTCACATAAATTCCATCGAAATAAAATCGAAATATCAATTCAAGCTGCACTTGAGCCGCGCTTATAATGGCGAGATAATCGATTCATCCCCAATTTGTCACCCCCACGCACGTCGCTAAAATTACCACGCAAGTATTTGCGTCGCGATCTCAACGCTTTGCGGTTGCTTCTCTGATAAATTAATGGATAAGAATTTACAACAGAGCGCATCGGTCATGAGTGCGTACGTAAATATTAATTTTCATGCAATTCACAGTAGATATGCAAATATCACCTTAATCACCGAGAGAAGACGACCGCCAGTGACAATCGATCGGACGCATTCAGCCATAGTGCATATATATAATTCTAATTAAGTCTTCGATTTAAGACCGGATTATACCTAATTATGCTATTGATAAACTCACAACACGGCTAAACAAACAAACCAAATTGACACGTGTTTTAATGGCGGTTTCACATGTTCTTGTGAAAAAATCTGAAATTATTTCTATTAAATCTATTAAAAAAAATAATTTTCAGTGTTAAGTACACGTGTGTATATCAACAATAAAATGTGTCAAGTCGAAATTCTGCAAAAATTAAACCCAACTTAATTATTTGAGAACAAAACGATATCGTGTAATGGCAGCAATTAATTTCTCCAAAGCTTTGCGTTTTTGATTGTTTATAACTCAACCATCAGCAAATGATGCTTATTTGATGTAGTTGGCTCTTTAATATCTATTTTATTAAAACACATCTCATTGATTTTGGAGGACCCGCATATCTGATTATCGTTATCGTTGCACGATTTCGCGTTCCGGTTTACGTGCCGATGGACTCATAATTTATCTACGATTGTTCGCGATAAAAAATTCACTGCATCCGCAATAAATCACGCGAATAAATAGATTTTTGCAAGACGATATCTCAAGCCTCGCCGCTTCTCTTCCTATTTCCCCTCGATCAATTCGCCATAAACGTGCGCCGCCCGTTACGATCACGCTCCCCCGAACTTCGACCGAATTGGAACACGACCCGTGAATTAAATAAAGTGTGATCGATTTCGTCCAATAGATTCGCTTAGCAGATTTCGAAAGACAATCCACATCGTAAGTCTATTTTAGCAAGTGCTTGCAACATGATGTACTTTATAGATATATCCAATTAAATTTTATCGTACACATGATGTTTTAGACTTAACTTTTCGCCTATAAACTCTTTAAACAATCTGGAGATTAATGTTTGCTTAGTTAATATTTAATACGATACTAAATGTAATAATAACTCTGCATTGCATGTCAGTTGATATAAAGTTCGCTTGAAAATAGATTAAGAGAAAATAAGATATCTCTCTCACTATATCTTTAACCTTCTAGCCGTGCTGTGGGTCTTTTTTGACTTAAAGCAGTTTCAAAGTTCACACAATTTTTTAAATATTTTAAATACAAATGTGATACTTCGCGACTTTTCGAATTATTTTAGAAAAAGTCAGTACATATTGTACTAAATTATTTTATATAATGCTAAAATAAAAGATATAAAAAATAGATATATGTCAATTAAATAGTGAGTTCTCACCATTGGATCTATTTAGACCCTGAACATGGTCAAAGTATACCCGAAACGAACACGGTTAGAAGGTTAAACACTCAAAGTTTAACTCGTGAAATAACTTTTCATTGCTTAAAACCTATTGACTTTTTCAAGTTTCGCTAAAAAAAAAAAAACAAATTAAATTCAGGTTAATCAATTAATTCGTAGGTAAAAGAAAAAATTCAATAAGCCTGGAATACTCCGTACATAAAATATTATTATATAATCCGAATCTCTACCGATGAATCGACATATAGTATAATTCAATACAGATGTAAATACATGTGATGCAAATGTATATAATCCTAAATGGAGTATTAATATTTTACTTGCCCATCTGTGACTGACGCACAGGCAGTGATAAAATATTAACAAATTAGGCAATGATACAATATTCCGCTCAAAAATTTAATGCAGAGCTAAATAAATCCATCGAAATATATCTCAATTACGCGGATTTTGGCAAGTGCTCGAATTTGTCAAACAGCCCGCGGGCATTCCGCGGTGTTTTTTCTCGTGCGATGATCTAATTCGCGGTAAACGGTCAAATATCTCGCTATCCTTTCGCGTCTTAGACCAGTTAACATAAGCAACGGTAAGGAGGAGAAAGAAGAGGCGCGGGGGAGTATGAAGCGAGGGGAGAGGGCGTGAACGGTACAGGGGGAGACAAGGGGAGGGTACGTATTTCAGTCATCCGACCAACTTTTGCAAGTTTAATGCCCGGGCGCTCGAGTAATTTAACACGACGAAATTAACTTTTCAGTTTTACCAAAGTTTCCTGGCAACTTAACCGCGTCCCCATCCCCTTCTCGCTCCTTTCACGTCGTCCCGCGCTCCCCATCCTGGCGGAATCC